ATCACCACAACTCTGCAATCTGCAATCTGAGTCTTGTTGTAGATTAAGAAGGTGCCCACACTAGGGGTTCTATTTGCAAGTTAATTGGGAAAGTTTCAAAGGTCTCATGTTGACAGATATTCCACATTTCCACCTTTGGCTATTGTCCCTTGCTGCCTTCATAGGGGTAACTCAATCTCTTAGAATAGTGAGTAGCATACTTACATGTATTGTGCTATGGCACTAGTCACATTTGAGCTCATATGGAACCATGTAATAATGGCATTGGCATAACTGTATGCAATATTATGGTGACTTTTTTTAGTCCGGGTAGGCAAAACACCAAAATCCGTCAGGTAAATGCTGGAATATTATGGTGACTCTGCACATAGTCTTGAACCTTGTGTTTTCATGGGAGTACGAGCACATTGATGTTGAATGACATTTTGTTAGAGCAGGGGTTATGTCTGGACTCTGGATGCAGCCTTGCACCATTTTTATTTTTGATAATCAATTAGCTAATATTTGCACCAAGTCTCCTAGTCCTAAGCGAGTCTACATCTGTAACATGTTTGGCACATATAATGTATATTCATAGACACTACCTTGTGGAGGTGTCAGTTTAAGTTGTTAAACACTTAAAACTGACACTGATAATCTGCGCTCAACCCAAGTGTGTATATGATTCACACTAACCCTAGATTATGTGTGCAACGGTACAAATATAGGGAATTAGTATCCTCAAAACTTCAATCAGTACAATTAAACCTTTCACTCTTCGCAGAAAGAAATATCACTTATCAGTGGTCAAAGGGAAATTATGTTGGAAAAAAACACCTCCATAAATAGAGCAATTAAAAACTACAGAGATATTTTAATAATTGTATTACACATGTACGTTAGGAGTTCAGTGTACCTGTCAGTCAAAAGCTTTTCTCTAGTTGCCACAGATCCAAAGAAAAAACACAGTAAAAATATATAGGCTGGTGGTTGCCACAGTGGCTGCTAAGGTTCCGATGGGAATAGAACGCTGGGTGTCTTTCAGTGAGGCTGAACGATTAGAGCCTGCCATGATGCCTGTCACAGCTGGAAAAAACAGACCTACCAATGCACTGTGGACTGATGAACATTAGATTATAATAGCACGACATTAATACTAAAGGTAATAACCGACAATCTTCATCATTGACTCATTGTTTCACCAAAGATAAGAGTTCTTAACAAAAGGTATCAAAGCATCGGAATGCTTGATCTGCACAATAAGAGGGTACTAATCACAATGATTGCAGGAACAGAATACTATTGAGACTTTCAGTTGAAGCTATTTCACAAGATTTACGCACCGCTACCTATTTGTATACCAAGGGTTATATACCTCATACTGGATGCATATGCTATACTCAATAACATAAATTCCTTTTTTACAAAAGAAAGAAAACAGTAAGGCATCAACTAGCAATGTATGATGTTAAAGGACAAAAAAAGGGGGAAAGGGGAACTATCTAGACCTCTTATCAGTTATCACCACCTTGTTTCACCGCCAACAAGGTTCATAGTTATTCACAAATAACTAATCAACAAAATGCACTGCTGATCTAAATCCCACAAATCATTAGACTGCAGAAAGAATTGCACAAAACCATGGCGAACTTAGTTAACCAACTCAGAATAGGACCGTAAGTGAAGAGAGAGATTGGAAAATATCTGGCAAATAAGCTAAACAGATGTTACTAATTTAATCAATTATTATGAATTGGGATGGAGAGACTAGAGAGCATATTTTGAGTTCTAGACCTAGCATCCTGATAATGTTGAATGTTGATTGAATGATAAGAGACCAAGATGGGACTGAGGAAAAAGATGTAGTTGCATGCCTTACTTGAAACTCCAGTATATCTTCCCGTTAGGATCTGGAATTCCAGCATTATTAGTCATCTGATAATCAGAACTCCAGTTATCTCTGAAAGATTCCAAACTCAGTCCCGTGATTCCCGCTGCAGCACAACAGAAAAAAGTCAGAGGCACAAACACATATTCTTCTAAGTGAAGGATAATGTGCAACAAGGAAAATGAAAACAAAGGGAGCACATATAGCATATGCAAGGTCAGTTTGAATTAGTAAGACAATTTAAAAATAGTGCATATATTTTCCACATCAATGGGAAACAGGCTGGGCCACCAACCTTTTAAGATCCTGAATGGTTGAATCACTACCGGAAATAGTTGCTTCTCTGAGATTCACGGTTTTGCTAATACTTTAAATTATACGATTGGCAAACTCATGAATAACTCATACATTGGCAGTTCAGGATCATTTAGGCATGAACTCAAGCTCCATGGATCAAATAATACAATGATTCTTTACCATAACCTACAAAACTAATTTCATTTCAAAACTTAATCTCTAGTCATTACATAGTGCGAACACAAACTCTTTTTTAGAAACACATAGCACTATTGTGAAATCTCGGCAACATTGCCCCCCTCCAATCATTTTTATACAAACTCATTTTTTTTAGACAACTATTACATAATGAAATCCAATCACTACATGTTTTAATCAACACTCACTATACAGCAGTACAATCCTGGTTCACTTATCATGTTATATGTACTTCCTAAAGTATTATGTTCTGAATTATGCCTAATGTGCTAAACAGGTAGAGGAATTGATTTACAGGCAGGTAATAGAAATATAGAATCTGAAGAGAACTAGAACTCCCAACAACACAATCATCGAATTACAGACTCATTTGTAACTCTTTATAACAATGGTTTTCTTGAATATCACCTTTCCTTGTGCGTGATTTCAATAAAAAAAAAACTCCAGAAAGTTCAAGGAAGAGAATCTGAATATAGAGAAGCCGTTTACACTAATAGCTAAATGATACTTTGTTTATTCATCCATACAGTGTTCTAAAAAGTGGCCTAGGCAGTGTCTTGATGGTAAGCAGGAGGTAAGCACTCCAATTTTGGCCAGATCAGAGGAAAAAAATGGTCAGCTGGCTAATCTGTTTTGAAACTACAACCTTTTTAAACCAAAAAACAACTTGAAAACACAACATTCTAAAACCACAAAGCACATTTCCGAACCGCGTACCCAAAAACCCCCTTGCTCAAATAAGAGATGTTTTAATTGAGCAAGTGCCATGTCTCCCAGTAGCACATCATATTGAAGAACTGGGAACTTCAAAGTGTGGATAAGTTCCATGGTCCAAACAATGTTAACCTGATGGATGATCCTTCCTCGCCAAAAATATGCCAAGAAATATGCAGCATAATGAGAATAAAACAGGAACAAGGAAAGCTGGTGCAACACGGTTGATCATTTTGACGCCCCCAAATACTATGAAGCATAGAATAATAGTCACGACCACCCCATAAATCTGCAAGTCGTGCAAGCTAGGTCTCGTGATGGGCTCGGCAATCGCTGTGCCATTAACTCTCGTGACCGTTTCTGCATCATGAAATAAGAAGATGATCAAATTGCATTTACATAGAAAAAAATATACCATGCCACCACCGTTGACTTCAAGAACGTGCACATCCGCACACAGATGTGAAGCTTTGAAGCAGAAACACAGAGACAAAATTTAAGGGTTGGTCCACTTAAAGAAGTGATATGTTGAGCGACACACTGAGACTCAGAATACTTAATATGGGGACCAATATCAGGCTGCCTAAAACAGTGCTATAAACTATCAGCACCTAGGATTTGATCAAACTAAAAATAGTGTTAATATTGTGAAATTACTCAAAGGGAAAGATTGGGAAAGAATCCTCATCCCTTGGCAATACCAAACTTCTCTTCCATGAGTCCATGACTATATGTACACATAAATATGATACCTCTAAAAATTCCTGCCGCTGGTACAGCATTCAAGAACGTCTCTACAGCTCCCAATACATACCTGATTTATGCAAGCACAATGATAAGATCAATGCCATATTCTATTATAATGCCTTAAATGAGAATATAGCATCACATTGCATACTCACATTGCTCCAGAGATTGCGTTCCCCAGGAAAAAACACAGTCCGATACTGACCCCAACCTCTGGGCCCAATGCTCGCCCAATAAGATAGTAAGGTCCACCACCCTATATAAAGAAAAAAAATTGAAAAAATAAGATTTTACTGCTCAACCAAAAAATATTTGACAAATAAACTAGAAAGTTCCATTGTACCTTCATTGCACCATTAGTTGCAATAGCACTGAGTGAAATTGTAGTGAGGAAAGTACAGGAACCACAGAAGGCCACTAGCATCAATGACTCCCCAATACCAGCCATTCCAACTATCCTGCAAATTAATCATATATTGAGGGTGGATGAAAAAATAAATTGATTATCTTTGTGTACGATGAATAAGATGTATCATGAAGCTTAGAGAAAAAACAAAGTGTTAAACAGGCACTGAACTAATTCTTTTTTCCTAGTCAATTTTTCCACCCTTCCCATCTTGCTTTTCCTTAATTTTTTCAATCAGCCCCTTCATTTACACCTTTGCTTTCTTTTCTTTTCTTCCTCTGCGGCTCTCTTTTACATTATTAGTAAAAGCCACACAGGAAGAATAAGAAAATATACCACATAATCATACGATGAATGCTCAATGTAACCATCGACTAGTAACTGAAATGTATTTCCAAATTCCAAGTTCATGCATTCAACCTCATAAACAAAGAAAAGTATTACAAAATCTTTTCACAAATCACAATTACAATACAACTTAAAACTGGAAATTTATCTCTAATGAAAGTGAAAAACTTGCCAGGAAAATCTTATATAGTAGATGATTCCCAAAATATTTTGCAAGCATGGCACAAAAACTCCCATCATTGTTCCCGACTTCACAGCAGCAGGCTGCATGAGTAATTGAGATCAAAGTCTATGAAGAAGGTACACAACACCCCTACATAAAGTACACACACACACATTCTGACAACTCTACATTGATTATTTAAAGACAAAAAACACTTGTAAAATTTCCTGATAAGACTCGGTGCCCGAAAATCACAAATCAGCGAGCAATTTATATGTACTACATAGTGCAAATTCAGGTCTACTAAAATCAGAGATAAAATGAACAATGAGATGATATTGATAACTATACGGATATCAGGCAGATAAAAAGGATACATGATACTACATCTGCCCCATATTGGATGTCTTGTTTTAGTTTGGCACAATTATTAAAAAAGTGGTTGAAAAGTAAAAATTCTGATTGAGTTTTGAGTAGAATAAAATAATATGATATGGACCATACATTTCTTGCCAAAAACGGAAACATGACATTCATTTTGGGAAAACCCAAAAAGGGAAGTAAGACAGCTGAAATGGGACGGAGGGCGTATAAAATTTTCACCTTCCTTCTCTTTCAGAATATAATGTTATGACAAGCTTATATTACTATAGACTCTTCAGCCTTTGGAGGACAGTAGGTGGGACTGCAGGGGAGGAATGAACGGGACGTGGGACGGGTGGGAGCAGGAATGGATGAGTTTTTTTTCCCGTCTCAAATATGAGGCGGGTGACGGGGGGTGCTGCATCCACCACACCCCCACCCCATTACTGCATAAACGCAGAACACACAAAACATACAACACAAACACATTTGTGTGTATAATTAATTAATTTTATACATTTATAGTAATAATACTTACCACCCACAAAAAATATATATATACGTAAAATTCATTATATTGTACATAATAGTGTACGTACTCATTCTCTTGTTTTTATTGTCTTAAAAGAGCTTTGTCAAACAAGAAAATCATTTAATTTGACAGCTGGTAATTTTTATGGTACACATAAATTGTTGAATTATACTACCTCCGTCCCAAAAAACTTTGTCATTTTCAAAACTTCGACCAATTATATCTTTTTATTGGAAATTTATAATATAAAAATTAAATCAAAATGTTCTTTGTTAAAAGTACTTCCATAAAGTATAAAATTTATAACTTTCATAATATTATACTAATCAAAATCATGGTTTCATTTTTTTGAAATGGCAAAGTTTTTGGGAGGACTGCGGAGTTCCTTATTACTATCGGAGTGCACCAAGGATCAGCTCTGAGCCCTTTCTTATTTGCCATAGTCATGGATGAACTTACAAAGTCAATTCAAGACGATATACCGTGGTGCATGATGGTTGTCGACGATATTGTATTCATTGATGGGACGCAATCAGGTGTTAAAGCAAAGTTGGAAGTATGGCGACAAACATCGGAGAACAAGGATTTCAGACTAAGTCGGAGCAAGAGAGAGTACATGGAGTGCAAGTTTGGTGGAGGTAGAAGCAGTGGTAATAGCGGAATTACTTTGGATGGTAAGGAGATATCGGTCAGCGATATGTTTCGTTACTTAGGCTCCATAATTCAGAAGGACGATGAGTGAGATGGAGATGTATCCCATAGAATCAGAACAGGGTGGATGAAGTGGAAGAATGCGTCGGGATTTCTATGCGATCGAGGTATGCCAACTAGACTGAAAGGTAAATTTTATAGGACATCAATTAGGCCTGCATTACTGTATGGCACAGAGTGTTGGGCGGTGAAACAATGTCACATTCAAAAAATGAGTGTGGCAGAGATGCGCATGCTGCGTTGGATGTGTGGGCATACTAGAAAGGACCACGTGAGGAATGAGACAATCAGACAAAGGGTGGGAGTAGCACCTATTGAAGATAAGATGCAGGAGTCGTGCCTACAGTGGTTTGGTCATGTACATAGAAGACCGAGTGATGCACCGGTCAGACGAGCTGAGATGTGTGGAGAAGAGGCAGGGAAGAGAGGGAGAGGAAGGCCCAAACAGACGTGGGTTAGGGGAGTCAGAAGTGATATGCTTCTTCTTGGATTGGATGAGGGTATGGCTTAAGAGAGAACAAAGTGGAGGGCGGGTATTCGTGTGGAGGAGTGATCTTGTATTATCCTTTCCCCTTTTTTTCCTATTTTTTTTCCTTTTATCCTTATATATAAATATTACTTTTATCTTTTTTTATTTTATCATGTATATGTATATTCATCACTTTTATATTATCTTTTTTATAATAGCTTATCTTTTTTATCTTTATTTTCTTTCTTTTCCTTTTGGCGATATCATGTATCGATTCATGTTAGCCGACCCCAATTCTTTTGGGACTAAGGCTTGGATGTTGTTGTTGTTGTGGCAATGTTTTGGGGACGAAGGTAGTATTATAGAATAAGTCATAGGAGTAGTAAAGAACATGGTTTGTAGTGCATAATTTTTCTGCCCATTGTATTTGTTCATTATGACTATAATCAGACATTGTACTCTCTTTCATTGATAAGCAATAAACAAAAACTGTTTTTAACTCTTTCAGCATGTCAAAAGATAACATTTACAAAGAGCTAGCCTAATGCATTGATAAAATTTTCAGGCACCAAGTAGAATGAAGTAACTAAAAAAATCCACGCATGACACCTTAAACTTCACTCTGATTACAAAGCAACAGTTCATGGAAGCAGTGCTGTGGCATTACAATCTGGAACCAATTTGTAACACAATAATTTTTCCCTTTTCAAACCATATGAAACTAACTAATCTCACAAATTGAAGCGTGGAACCATAACTTCGATCAGTTGGATGTTTACAAGTTCATTCAGAGTCAAGTCTTCTCTCCCATTTTCCTTAATGCCATCATTTTTAGTGGCACGGTAATTGTACAAACCATTCCATAAAAAAGAATCGATAATGACTGGAAAGAGATATGACCGATAATGACTGGAAAGAGATATGACCGATAAGGAAAACTGGCAGAAGAACTGTGATTGAAGCACCATATAAGCAAAGAAAACCCTTTATTAAAAATCAATATCATAGAAGATAATTCACAATGCTATCATTTACCCTTTGGCGGCCAATAGTGATAGTTGCATCATCCCCATCACGGAGACGTGATGGGCTTGGCATTTGATCCCCTATCATACTAGAAGAACAAAATTCATTAAGCTGTGTATATCATCCAAATATCCGAGAATAAAAATACACACCTAAAATATAACTGTGAAAAGCCAAAAAATTTCTAAAGTACAATAATTAAACGTCAAAAAATCTGTAGAAAAATGAATTAGCTTTTGAAGTGACCGAAAATAAAAATAAAAAACACATTTTTTAGATAAAAACATTGTAGATGCAAGGTATGAAAGGAGAAAATAATAGTAGTGATAATAATAATAAAAAGAATGATATTAATAACAATAAGAATACGAATAGTAGTAATTATAAACCGAGGGTAACGAATTCATCTATTACCTCTTAAGACCTAGGATATTGACGAGAGAGTCAAAGCCAAATAATTCTAATTTGGACTCTGCCTGGGTCACATTCCCATGATTAGGTAAAGACTCGTCTCTGCCATTAGAGGATGTCTTTGGTCCCTCCCCCACTTTAATTTTCCTGAAAATTTGTATCACAAGTTAATATAGTTTTTCTTTAAAAATTCAAATGATCAGAATGACTCATAATCATAAATTTAGAAACTGCAGATCAGGATATGTCTGGTACGCAAAGCCACAAACTTGAGGGGAAAGAACAATCTAGTGATCTACTAAAATGCATACTGAAATTCATTTATAAATAACAGTCTGAAGATGCCCTTACTTTCCATTGGACAAATGTTTATATGAAAACTCTTCAAGCATCAGTATTCCTTATTAACAACTGTTAGCATTTATGTGTTGGTTCTTCTGTAAGCAAATAATGTAGCTAGTGCGCTGAGTTTGAAGGAATACTCTTCAAGCATCAGTATTCCTTATTAACAACTGTTAGCATTTATGTGTTGGTTCTTCTGTAAGCAAATAATGTAGCTAGTGCACTGAGTTTGAAGGAATTCCTTAATCCCAATACACTCTTTAATAGAGTTTAGAGGAAGAGAGATATGCAGACTCAATTGCTTGCTTTATTCTCAGGCATGTATGAGTATTTATACAATAATTGGGAGCCTATAATAATAATTACAATACTAAATACAAAGATATGTAATGGTTATAACTGAAAATGTAATAATTGAAAATATTATAAATTACTCCCTCTGTCCCCCTAACTTTGTTCGGTTTTACCTTTTTTATCCGTCTCATTAAGTTTGTCCCATACCATATTTGGTAATATTTGAGTGGTTAGAATTCATTCTTACTTTTTTCACACTTTATTAATTCAATACCAACCACACAATCCTACCTTTTCTTAAAAACCACACCACACCCCTTTGCCCCAAACTTAAGGGGACAGAGGTAGTAATATTTCCTGGAATCTTCTCTACGCCCCGCAAGCCAGGTATTCTGTCACTCCCAAGGATCCTAAGCTTGTCTCTTCAAGAGTAAAATGTTGCCTTGAAAATGGTTTGGTAAGAGCATCAGCTAACTGATCATGAGATGAGATGTGAAGGACAAGAAGAAGCCCACGTTGCACACGTTGTCGGACAAAAATGCAAATCGATGGCAACATGTTTCATCTTAGAATGAAAAACCGGATTTGTTGAAGAGCTTGTAGCGCCTTTGTTATCACAAAGTAGGAGCGGGGAAGAGGGAGGCGGATGTCGGAGTTCATGAAGAAGAGATTCAATCCAAAGAATTTCAGATGCAGCAGTGGAGAGAGCCCCATACTCCGCTTTTGCAGATGAATTTCACCAAGAAATGCTCCGTTGTTTGATAGACTTCCAGGAAACAAGTGATTCACCCAGAAAAATGGCATATACGCTAGTTGAGGAGCGATCATCGGGATTCCCTGCCCAGTCTACATCGACATAAGCACGTAGAGAAAGAGATGAACTGTGGCAGAGATAGAGACCACAAGAAGTAGTGCCTTGAAGGTATCCTAATAGGCATTTGATATGCTGCCAATGAGTAACCGTAGGTTTTTGCATAAATTGAGCAAGTTTGTTGACAGCGAAGGCAACATATGGTCTTGTGAGACTCAAATATTGAAGTGATCCAATGACGTCCATTGAGAGTCACATCGCAAAACCCCGAACTATCAAATAGGGTTAAGAATGTCGAGGAACCAAGGGTGTGGATACCAGTTTAGCCTCATCCATTTTCAAATTATGCAATAAATTGGTAATGTACTTGTGTTGATCAAGAAAGGGTCCATCCTATGTCAGAGTGACCTGCATGCCTAGAAAAAAATGTAACGATCCCAAATCGTTAATAGAGAAATTTTGTGCTGATGAATCAATAGTCCAACGAACCAAAGTAGGAGTGGAACCGGTAACAATAGTATCCTCCACATACACCAACACATAGATATAAGAGTGATGTGAAGAGAGAATGAAGAGACTCGCATCAGACACAGATTGATGAAATCCAAGGGAAAGAAAAAACCCAATCAGAGATTGATACCACACTCAAGGTTCTTGTTTGAGACCATAAATAGATTCACGAAGACAGCAAACAGACCCAGAACCATCATTGAAACCAGAAGGTTATTTCATGTAACCTTCCTCGTGAAGAGTCCCATGCAAAAAGGCATTATTGACATCGAGCTGATTGATCTACCAACCATGAGAAAGGGCAATGGTCAAAACAGCTCGAATAGTGACCAGTTTGATTATTGGGCTGAAAGTGTCAGAATAATCAATTCTTGGGCGCTCATGAAAGCCCTTAAAAACCAACCAAGCTTTGAAACGATCCAAAGAACCATCCTGCTTGTACTTCACAGTATAAACCCATTTGCAACCAACAACATTTTGACCAGGACACGCTGGAACAAGTTCCCTGTTTAACCAAGGCTTCAAATTCTGGTACCTATAAAGCCTGGGAAGTAGAAGTAGGAATAATATGATGAGGTAAGGCGGATTGAGTGACAAGATTAGCTTGTTTACGAGGACGAAGGGTCATGGGATGGGTACGTTTGGGAGGGGAATTGTGGGGACCGGAATGTTGGTCCAAGGCAACAATGGAGGTATTTGTAGCGGTGGTCGGGGTGATAGTGGGTGGTTCATTAAGTGAAGCTTGAGGAGATGGCGGGGTAGTTGGTTTTGGCTTAAACCAACGTTGATATGTGATGATAGCATGTGGATTGTGTGAAGGTGGGGGTGCAAGGTGTGACATACTAGAGGTAGAGATTGACCTACCGAGAGTGTTTTGATGAGCCAGGGTATGAGAAATAGGAGATGCCCTCGCCACTTGTGTACCTGAAAGAGGAAGATAGGAAATAGGCGGTTGAAGCCAGTTATCAATCTTCGAGAAGAGATTAGTAACAGGTGTTGAGGTCTGAGAGAAGGTTAAGACAGACCCGTTGAACACTACATGCCTGCTAATAAAAAATACGGTGGGTAGTTGGGTCAAGACATCGACATGCACTCTGTTGATCACAATATATCCTAGAAAAATACATGGTATGGATTGAGGTTCTGATTTGTGGGTTGTGTAAGGACGCAACCATGGAAAGCATTAGCACCCAAAAATAGCAAGTTTTGTGTAGTAAGGTGTTTTTGAAAAAGTTTTTCATATGAAGAGCAGATGTTGAGAGATGTTGTAGGGTGTCTATTAATGAGATACACTGCAATTTGAAAAGCATAAGACCAATAATATTTAAGTGGCATGGAGGCGTGATGAAATAAAGTGATCCATGTTACAAGTTTCAACTAGGGTTTGGAGGTTGTGAAGGTACTCCCCCACGGGGTGAGCTCCCTGCTTCATGTGGCGGAACTGGTCTTTGAGGTTCTGAATCGCGGAAGCTGATCGAGTCCCATATATCTGCTCAAGCGTCTTCAGGCAACGGCAGAAGTGCGTGCAGAACCAATTAATGGTTTGAAGACCGAGATACGGGAGGAGACCTAGGGCGTGGCGAAGGAGTTTGTCCTGTCGTTTCCATCTGAGATGACCAATTGCATCACTTTCCGGCGGCAGTGCACTCTTCTCCTCTATATACTGGCTCGTGTGTGACCCAAACTGAAGATCAAGAATCTGGTCATGCCAAACCAGGTAATTAGATTCGTCTAATTTTTTTTGGAAATTGACTGGGGTTAAGCATTATGAGTCCATAGTGTTCAGTGGTTGTTGGCAGAGGTAGACGAGATATTAGCGAGAGGGTTTTCGAGGTCTCCTTGTCGCTGTAGATCCTCTGTCTGTCTAATTGGATTTTCATCGTTGGACATGGGTAGAGGGGCTGGTGAGAGCTCTTATGGCTCTGATACCATAAGATAATAATGTAACTGAATGGCTTGCTTTATTCTCAGGCATGGATGAGTATTGGGAGCCTAAAATAATAATTACAATACTAATTACAAAGATATGTAACAGTTATAACTGAAATTGTAATAATTGAAAATATAATAAATTAATATTTTCTCGAATCTTCTATACTCTTCATGTGCATCAAGAAGAGGATACATTGCAAATTGAAGAGCTACTTGATAGGGTTACAATGGAAACACTGGGTGATAGGTTTATTCTCGGTAAGCTCCAAATTGGTTTCAAAATAATGTCCCACACTTCTCCACCACAAAAGTAGAAATGCAAGGTATTAGAATTTTGAACATTTATTTAGCCATAAGTCATCTGCTCAAAAATTGAATTCTCTTCAGTTCTCTTGAAACATTGAAACTTCAATTGTTTATCTACTATTTCAAGCTTCATCAACTCCTTGAAAGCACAACACTTAGTTTTAGTTTGTGATTTTGAGAGTAAATACATTAACCTTTCAATCAACATTTAGAGCAATGATTTAATCAGTTGCATAATGTTTATAATCTAAAACACACTTACAATTGTGATCCCTGTCACCCTGTGTTAAAGAAATACGTAGTATGTTGTTATAAGAGAGTAGAGCAAACCCATTTACTGTAACTTGTATGATTAATGATAGGAGTCTGGAGATGGCCAATGATATCCATCAAAGAGGAGTATTCATTGAGATTAGGGATGCGAAGAGGGGTGGAGCCACGGACACCCACCCCATGGGGGACGAACGTGATGGGGATGAGATTGGTAGGTGAGATCTTTTGCCCTGCCTAAACATGGGGGAGTGATGGGGATGCTACCCCCGCATAAATGAACACATTTATGTGAGGATGTTTTTACTTGGACTTATTTCAGTCCAAGACCACACCAGACCTCGATAGTTGTAAATTACAAAATGACTAGACATTTACTAAACCAGACCAGATAATTATTGTACAAGTAAAAACATCCTGAATATAACTAATTAATTAAATAATTAACTGTTATAATGTGATAGTGATCTTTGGGACTAAGGCTTGGATGTTGTTGTTGAATGTAATAGTAATAATACTTGCAAACAAAATAAATAGAATCCGCATTAATTAGTTAAATGCTTTTAACCTGCATAAATAAATATATATTTAATTAATTATTTATATAGATATATAGAGTTAACTATACTGTACATGACAATAAACTCTCTCGTGCTTTTTTTAATTATCTTGAAAAAAAAAATTCAAATGAGAAAATCATTTATTTTGGTGGTGGTAACTTTAATAGTTTAATCATGCACCTTATTAAAAAATAACTACTTTGATGTAATGATATTTAGATCTGTTGATTTGAAATAATATGCAAACAAGATAAAAATCTACACGGCACCCGCTCGGGGGGGGGGGGGGGGGGGGGGGGGCTAATGGGGCGGGTGGGGGTGGGGCCTTTTTTAGAAATGTTGCGAGGGGTGGAAAATGAGCCTCCGCCCTAAACCTGTCACATTTTCATCCGCAGTGAAGAGTGGTAGATTGCTAAATGTAAAGGAAGGGGCTCTTTATGTAGTGAGGTGGGTATTGCTTCAAACATATAAAATATAATAACCTTCGTGCCTTGCTTGTTTACATTCGTATATGTATGTGACTGAATATTTATTGTATTTATCTACTCCCCTGCACTACTTGCAGTTATGTCTACCATTAATGAGAAAACTGAATCTACTTTTGTTAATCACCAAAGCAAATAGACACAAATCTATATTTTTTGAAATGTTAACATGAAATGAATTGCTGCGTGCTAGTATGCGTTCTAAAATTCTTGAAAACCAACCAGTGTGACCTATCTTGTGATCTATACTTCTATTCTGTCTAAAGCTAATACTTCCACTTGAATATCATATTATCCTACAGTAAGACTTTTGGTAAATACAAAGCAGCCTGACCTTCTTGTAATATCAAGATATGAACACATGGCTACGAATGTATCCTAAATGGCTACATGTTGATAATCCAGATTCAAAATCTCAGTTGCATCAAAAGAAAATAACACGTCATGCAAAATTGGAACACAGTTCTAAAGAGGAATATGGCTGAGATGGTACTGGTAAGAAAAGGCCTCACTATGCATTCAACATAAAAACAGAAAAGGGTGAGCATAAATGACCTCTTACTCACAATCAATTGATGACATTTCAAAAGTCTTGACAAATTGAAGTTCAAAGTGGTAGCATGAGAGTGTTTTTACAAGGATATCATTAAATACTTGAACTCATATATGTTCCTAAGAATATCGTTCAATACTTGGCAAGGCATCGTAATCATAAAAAGCTAAACAGTCATTAACGCCCTCAAAGGTTCCAAAGGCTCCAATCAGAAACTCCTGACTCCTTTAGGAGCTAAGAATCCATTTCTATCTGCGTTTGAGAACGTGCATAAGGGACCAATCAAGGACTCCCACTAGAATCTAGAAGTCAACCAAAGCTGATTCAATGTTCTTGTAGCATCAATTATAAAAGAAGGTCCGCTGATTAGTCTACTATGTAAGTGCAGCCCATCTCAGAATCTAAAACTATGTTTTCTCAAGACAATCTCAGGTAAAGAAGATACCATTGCTGCTATACTAGAGAATAAATGCTAAATGATTGTCCATTGATTTGGATCAACTATTTAGCTCAAACAGACTGTTAATGCACAGTACACAAGTTTCAGTTTTTTACATTACCCCTTCTCCAAATCTCGCCCTAGCGTACCTATACTTGTTCTTCAATTACATAAACCCTTGTCTCAGACTTTAGGGATTAGAAATGACATATACTAGAGGTAAAATATATAACTACTTAATACAAAAGAGAAATGAAAGAGAGAACCGTACTTGAGATCGTGAGGAGGATATGAAGAAGAGGAAGATCCAAGATCAATAGAGGACATTTCAAGCACAGCCCGATCATTGTCGTGCGCCACCACAGGACGATACTTGCTGCGCCCCAGAGATCCCGGCGAGAAAACTGCATTGTCCTCGGAGCCTTCAATGTCATGTCCCCCTCGTCCACTATCCATAGCCGTATCCTTATCCCGAATTGTTCCAGATGACAAATGTAATTGCTCAATGAATACGAGTGAATACGTATCCAAATCTGCGTCTATGCGTATCAAGAATGGGTTGAGTGCAATTCAAATGACGCGTAAGATTGGAAGGTTCAACTACGGAGTTGAAGTGTGTATACGATTAGAAATTCCTGCAGGTGTACCAGAAAACAGAACAGATAATGGGTGTTGCGTAGAAAATATAGAAATGGCCTAGCAGGGCTTGCAGCTGACAAATAAGGCGGGGCTGAGTTTTCTTTGAGCTGATGAGTAGGAGAAACAGAGCAAAGAAAAACAGTGCTCCATACTACTCCGTAATCTAGTCATGCTCTTTATATCATACCCAAAAAAATTAACTGCCTGTTTGGATTGAGTGTTGAAGAGTGTTAGTAATGGAAGTGTTAGTAAGTGTTGATGCTAACACTTGTTTGGGAGAAAAAACCAGAGGTGTTAAGAAGTGTTAGTAATGGTTAGGAAGTGTTAGTAATAACCTTCCCAACACCTCAATTGTCCATTTTTTTAACACTCCGATTTGGAGTGTTTTGAGGTGTTGGACAATTATTACCCTTCTCATTTGCCCGAAAAACATAAAATGCTTCGACATTTCACTTCGAATGACTTTCCCACGGGTCTGATGGTTTGTTTTTTCATCTCTTCTCTTTACTCTTTCTTTACTCTTTCTTTAACACTTCCATTATTAACACTTCGTTCATTTGACTCTCCCAAACAAGGTAAAATTATGGCTAACACTTACACTTCTCTTCCCTTTCGAGCCCTTACTAACACTTCCATTACTAACACTTCCAAACACTCCATCCAAACAGGCCCTAAGGTCCCAAAAATTAAAAATCGTGGGTCAAAACTCAAAAGGTTAATTGAATTCATAAAATTGGGTTGGTATTACTTGATAATGTTCTTTGAGTATATTTACACATTAATATGGTTGAGTTGGGTAAGAGAATGCTAAGTAAAAAAGGTAAGTCGAACAAAGTTTTGTAGTTGACCTTTATGAAGTCGACCTAAAAGGAGAAGTCGACCAAGGTCCCGGTGTCGACCTTTAAGAGGTCGACCTATGGGTAAATGACTTGCGGCCATGCGGGGTGCATTGATCAAGGGACTGGGGGCTAGCGTCAACCTTCAGAAAGTCGACATATTAGCATTATGTTAGTCAGCGCAACCACATTAATGTGTTAATCTAACGAGTTTACTCAATTAACAATAAAAAACCAAGTTTATGTACTTAGAAATGTCAAATACAATATAGTATACTTTTTACTCTACCTTATACAACTTGATGTACTCAATTGACTCTTATTTCAAAAATTACTCCTTCCGTTCTTTTTTAGTTGCAACACTTTTCTTTTTAGGTAGTTTCAAAGTAATTGCAACACATCTATTTTAGAATATAAAAGTGAGTTGAATTGTCTTTACTACCCTTAATTAATTCACTATCAGCTAGACAGCCACCCCTCTCCAATTTCATCGGTTTCTGTATCCACCCACCCGGCCACCCCCACCTTCTTCAACCTCAACACATCTTTCAACCTCAAATTTCCCCGTACCTTTCTTCAACCTGAAATCCTCTTCCTTCTCTACAGATCTGGCTTTTAAGAAAACTCAATTGGATTTCATGGATTTCATGTAGTCACCCGATTTCTTTTCAGACTAGGATATTTTGCTATATTTGACGAAGAGTACCTTAGTGAAACCCGGCAGTCTTACCTTAAAATACGTTTCCATGCTAAGTTTGTCTGCGACCTCTTCTATGAGATTGGGAAGAGTACCTTCCGCCAGTCAAACGTAACCCAAACGGGCCTTCCCAGATTTCATCTCCCACAACCCCATTTGATTTTATGATTTGTGGGATTTAATTCTTCAGACTGCCGTTGAGGTTGCGAGGTCGAAGATGAACGTCGACAGGGAATCTGTGATGGCCGATGGGTATGGAGACAAAAGTTGTACTATTCTACCATTCTACCAATAGTTGTGCTTTTCTAGACCATATGAGGGTTGTTTTTTCCTTATTGTATAAGGGTACAAAGGGAAATCAATTTTTTTTTCATGCTTCTTAATTTGTGTGCCATGATGCTATGTTGCATCTAAATAAAAACGGAGGATAGTATGTAATAATTCATCTCAAATTTTGAAAGGATGTGATGTAAACTCTCCAAATTTGCATGTGTAATTTCAATATTCCGAACTATATATAAAAAGTTGTGTTAGCACCATGAACATATAATTTCACCATAAATTATATGATCATAAATTTTAAATAAATACATGATCATAGTGTTAAAATAACTCTTAATTGTTAAGAGTGTTTTATTTAAATTACATATGAAAGTTTGGGGTATTGACTATTTGGATTTTTATTACGATTGTATTTTGTAATTCATTTTACAAATAATTTTATTTTACAAAACTACTCATGTTTTTTTTTTTTGAAAAAGGCGGCTTATATTGATAAAGAAACATTCAGCAAGGGACAAAAGAGATAAAGCGGACACTTCTAGCCACCGACCCTCGGACCAACCTGAGAACCAATCACCCTATACAGAGTAATGTGATTCACTAATCCTATAACGAGTCTAAATGAGCCTAACGTGGCCAAAGCAAAACCTCCATGACCCCAGCCTATTGTAAGAGTCTGACAAAACAAAACAAAACAAAAAGGTGACAACGGAAACAAAACAGTACTTAGCAGGAAAAAAAACGACAGTAAAACCGTGGAAAGTAAACTGACTCCTAAGAAGCCCGAACGAGCTCCAGTGTCCTCCCATAGCCAAATAAAGCTTCAGACATCGTGACGGGTTTCGAAACCCCACCGCCGCCGCCGCCCCGTTTTTTGGATCCCCCTTGCCACATGTCGTTTCCCAGATCCTCCTGCGCTTACATTCCCCAGGAGCCCCCTCCTCAAGTGCATTACTGCCTGATTCCACATGTCCTGTACCGCTCTCAACCAGAGAAAGTGCCCAATCCCTCATGCTTGGCCCCGCATTCCCATCTCCCACAAACAAAACTACTCATGCTTATAAAACAAACTTTCGTACATAAAATATGAATTTTTGAGAGAAGTTTAAAAACATAGGTAGTACAAATAAATGTGCACGTAGATTTTAATTTGAGTCCTTGGAATAGTCTACTTACTTAATAATAAAGTACAACCTTTTAATTGAAATTGAATTTTCAATTAATTGCTATTGAGTCCAATTAGTGAATAGTCTAATTGCAATTAAGTCCTAATTCATAGTATTTACTCAATTGATTACTATTGAGTCCAAATAGTGAATATTCATTATATTAATTGCAATTAAGTCCTAAATTCATACATAGTAGTATTTATATATATATATATATATATATATATATATATATATATATATATATATATATATATATATATTACGGAGGAGAAAAGTCCTCCCTCGGGATTCCAGAGTAGAATAGTTGTCTAGCCGCCGCGATTTGAGGATGTTCTTGGTAGTTTTTTGATGAATTTTTTTGAACATGTTCTTCATGAGGTTTAGATTATATCCACAAAATTTCATCTTAAAATTCGATTGAGAAGTAAGTTAAATAAATATATAAATATTTTGACGTAGTGTTTTTCAATATTTTTTTAATTGACTTTCCGATCAAATTTTATAAACTTCATATAGAAAATTTCATCAAGAAAAACTCACTAGAAACCGTCTCAAATCGTGGCGGGCCGAACGGTGATTCCGTTCAGGATATTCTAACTGGAATATTACTCTATTATGAAGCATCAATTTCCAAATAAACTACAAATAATCTAATCATTCCATTTAGAGAGCACATGTATATTTAAATGTTTATAATATTGGATTTCATTCCATATTTTATAATGTTTTATCAAATTGGTTCTAGAAAACAATGCATAATTTGTAAAACTTTTATTCGTTATTTTGTAATATTTTATATAATTTGCATTCCAATTAAATACATATATTTGAAATACTTTGTATAGTTCATATTCCTTTCACTTGAAAAAGTAACTTAATTAATTTTATTTCATATTTGTACAATACGTGTTATTCATATACACAATATACTTTTTCTATTCTAGAATACCGTGTTGCCTTTAATAATAATAGTTATTTTTGTTTAAAAAAAACATATAAAGGAATAAATTGAATTTCCAAAAAATAAAGTGAGTTCTATATTTATTTAGTATTAGTAATAAGAGACATTACTTTTTCTTATAGGATACCCAACTAAAACAATAGTTTGTGTTGAAAAATATGCTATGAAAATGTTCGTGTATTTTAAACATAAGATAAAACGATGAAAAACTAATTGATATAAACTTCTCATTTATTTTAAAATTTTACATTTTTTATTTACTAATAAAACTACCTTTCAAACCACACTTAATATAGGAGAAGAATATAAAAATACGAATTGAGATTTTCAAACTAAAAAACTCAAATGGGACTGATAAAGTATAATATAGTATTACCTCCGTTCCGAAAAAGTTCATCATATTGATTATTTTTGTAATGATGGCAAATTTGAGACAATGATTTTAATTATTATATCGTATATAACTTATAAATGTTATACTTTTATGAAAACATTTTGAAGAAGAAACATTTTGATATCATTAGTCAAAGTTGATTGTTATTAACCAAGAAAAATCAATTTGACGAATCTTTTCAGAACGGAGGGAGTAAGTAAATTGTGAGTACATACACATTGTGTGATTCTCCTAAATAAAAATAAATCATATTTATCTATATTTTTATATTGTCCATAAAATTATAGGATTAATATTTTCTATTACATCTTAAAAAATTAATTGGCTTAATTAGAAGTATATAATAATGACATTGTCAACTGTATGCTCTTGAAAAGTTTTATCTGTTCTTTTTTAGTTACAACTCTTCTCTTTTCATGTTTGCCAACACACTACTTTGATTATTAATGTATATAATTCGTTATTAGTAAAAAAATATTTTTGAGATTTAAATTGAGACGAATTGAACGATATTTTTAAAAAATGTCTAATATATTAATAAATAAAATATAACCAAAGTAGGACATGCAATTAGTGTAAAAATCAACATGTTTAGTATAAATATTGATTTTGTATCATTTTATTCCAATAAATGGAATCACAAGAGCACTTTGAGGTCTAAAAATTTGTAGAAAATGCACAGCGCAGTTAATTATCATTAGTCATATATATTAAATAAACTTCATCTACGTCTTCTACTATTAAGGCTAATTTCAACTCATCATTTAATTTAATTTCCTATTCACATAAATATTGCCGTACTACCTAC